GTGTATTATATTTTTATTCATATTAAAGAAGGTTGGATGATCATGCTATTACACACCAAGTAATTTATATATGTATATAACATTGTATATCTATGTGCAATTCTCCTCTTATGATTGGAATAAGAAGGAAAAATCAATTAGATACGACAATAATTATATATTCCGATACTTATCCGTATTTTTATCATCACCACAACCAATGCTTGAGATATTTTTGGCTTGAGAAATCCATGTGAATATGTATTTGTAGAATTTGGACTTAGATTATAACTTAATCCCATTAAAGTAATTTGTATGGTGATGATTGTCCAAACTTTATAAGCACTATTTTCTTGTCCAAACATTACAACACTTCACTTAGCCTTCTTGGTTAGTCCCTTCGTAATAGGTTGCCATTTCCCAAACATTAGCAATTAACTCTAATAGGTCGCAATTAAAGCAGGTTATGGTTTGCCACAATTAAGGCAACTTCCCAACATACACTTTAATGCCTGGGGCTAAGGGCTTGAAGTGTGGCAATGTAATAGTGATATAAGCATGATAACTAATTTAAGATAGACTCTAATATTATTTTGAAATTTGAGTTTGTGGCCTAATTGAACTTCACAAAAATTGACTTGTATTATAAGGATTGTCCAAACCTTATACGAATTACTTAGGCCTTATTTCTGGTCAATGTGGGATCTCAACTCCATAAAAGTCAATGTCTCAATGGTTGCACACTACTATGCTTCACTAGTCCATTTTGTTCAACCCCTTTATAGGTAGTCCTTTCCAAGACATTTACAACCAACTCTGATAGGTTACAATTAAGGCGGGCTAGAATGATTGCAATTAAGCTGAATTTCCAATGCACCTTTTCACTCCAAGGGCTATGGGTTTGGAGCCTAGCAATGCAGGTAGACAAACAATGGTTGATACCATATTAGAATTTGGGTTTATAACCTAATTTAACCCCACAAAATCAGTATGTATTGTCCAAGTTTTATAAACACTACTTAGGTCTTATCTCTAGTTGTTGCAATGGCAGTTGCGCACCTCATATAACGCTTTGCTTAGCCTTTATGGTTATCCGTTTTGTAGGTAGCCCTTTCTAAGGATGCAATTTATGTGGGTTAGGGATGACCACAATTAAAGTGGCTTTCCAACTTCTATGTATATGTTTCTCTCTTGCAATGATAATGAATTGACTATATTGTTCTTTTTTTTGTCCTTTGCAGAAAAATGCAGTGTTAGCACGCCATCTATTAAATGGAGAGTTGGAACCTTCAAAAATATTAAATATGACATCCAATGAGTTAAAGGTATGATATCTACAAGCTTTAATCTTTTACAAAAGGTTTAATTGAACTATTAAGTTGTCTGCTTGTGATGAAATGATCTCAACCCCCTAAGAGTCAATGTCTGTGCGGCTGCACACTATGATGGTTCACTCAGCCTTTTTGCTCAGCTCCTACATAGGTGGTCTCGGAGACATTGGCAACCAACTATAGTAAGCCACAATTAAGGTAGGCTAGAAGTGATTGCAATTAAGGAAACTTTTCAACACCCTCACACCTAAGACTGGCCTATGGGCTTAGAGCGTGCAAATGTAAGCGAACCAACTAACTTAATCTTACATTGGCTTGTATGGTGAGGATTGTCCAAATTTTATTAGCACTACTTAAGTCTTATCTCTAGTGGATGTGAGAATCTCAATTCGGTAAGAGCTGATGTCCCGACAGCTGCATACTACAACACTTCACTTAACATTTTTGGTCACCCCTTTGTAGGTAGCCTTTCCAAGATATTGACTACTAATTCTAATAGACCACAACTAAGGTGAGCTACGGATGATTGCAATTAAAGTAACTTTCCAATATGTTATATAATTTATTGTAGATGAATATTCAGCCTTTGTGACCACTCATATAAGAGCTTTAGTTGTCATTTTAGTGTTTGTGTTGTTTGGATTTGCTTTTTAGGAACTGAGTCTTCTTACTAAAGGCATAGGTTTTGTAAATGTATCCTATAAAGTTTGTGAGTTTTCTTCTAAAAGTAGCACATGCTTTTCAAGGGTACTCTAAAATAATGTTTGATGTTTAGAAAAGCAATTTGCACTGTCTTTTATTGAAACAACAATAAAATACATCGACACACCATAAAGCAACTATGATTTAGAGTACTGGTAACTTTTGTCATCAATTTCTATAAGCTGGTTTGCTAAAAGATTAAACTGCTTGTTGACGCCTAGTTTCTTATGGTCTTCAAGAGGGTTTGGTTGTTAAGGAAAGAACCAAGGAGCGTGATGAGACCCAGCAATTGTAAGTAAATTTCCCTCCCTTCAATTTTATTATCTCAGTATCTGTTATGTTGCGTGAAGATATATGCTGACTTCAGCTTTGCTTGCCCTGAAATAGATGACAGATGCCCGCTGCTCAAAATGCATGAATTGTAATGTGGGTTTGAAAGATATTATCCAAGCTGGAAATTATGAACGTTATCAGGTATGCATCTTTTTACTTTATTAGTCCAAAGTTCAAAAACTCTGCACTTTTATGGCTTGGTTTGCTTGCTTTTTGCTTTGTTGTCGTTACAGATTGTTAGATAATCTTAAATTTTAGAGATATCCGAGTTAGTTTATCTGTTTTATTTGTTTAAGTTTAGATAAGATAGTTTTTGATCATGGACGAGGTAGAGGACGAGGTGATCATGGAGGTGGACAAGGACGAGGTGATCGTAGCCAAGGAAGTCAGCCAAGGTCGGAGGTGGAATGTTATAAGTGTGGCAAACTCGGCCACTACGCAAAGGAATGCAGATCAGCAAATTGCTACAACTGTGGCAAACGGTCACATAGCAAAGTATTGCCGAGCTAAAAGCCGAAGTGAAGAGAAAGAGAAGAATCTTCTCACAGAAGAAGAGGACGAGGAAGCAGGAATTTTGATGATGATGCAGAGCTCGGAGACCAAGCTACGTCCGAGTTGTGCCTCCGAGGTTCAGCAAAACTTGAGTTGCGTGGAGAGATCAGTAGTTGAGCTTCCAAGTTCATATGAGAAGTCAGAATCCGAGCTTGATTCAAGTTGCTTAAACAACTCGGTCTGGTATTTGGACACTGGAGCGAGCAATCATATGTGTGGAGAAGAAAGTTTCTTCAACGAACTCATCAAGGTGAAGGTTGGATTCGTGTCATTTGGGGATGATTCCAAGGTGGTGGTAAAAGGGCGTGGTACCATCAGGCATATGCAGAAGGATGGACGAGTTGGAGAAATAAGGAATGTCTATTACGTTCCCGAGCTTAAGAATAACATCTTAAGCATGGGGCAGATGATGGAGAAAGGAAACTCGGTTCTGATGAAGGATCGAGTGCTTTATTTGAAGGAAAAACATGATCGTTTAATAGCCCGAGTGGAGATGAAAAAGAATCGGATGTATAAACTGGAGATGAACATCTTTCAAAATAAGTGCTTGAAGTTGGACGTGAAGGATGAAGCCATGATGTGGCATTTTCGTTTTGGGCATTTAAACTTTGGAGGTTTGGCCGAGCTATCAAGGAAGGAGTTGGTGCACGGACTACGTGGTGTTGAGTTTGACAAGAAGTTTTGTGAAGCATGTGTACTCGGAAAGCATACAAGAACAAGTTTTCCCTCGTCCGAGTACAAAGTAAAGGAGCAACTTGGCCTGATACACACTGACTTGTGTGGACCAATCTCTCCTGCATCCTTCAGTGGTAAGAAATATTTCATCTCTTTCATAGATGATTTCTCTCGAAAGACCTGTGTATATTTCTTGCAAGAAAAATCAAAGGCATTTGAAGCTTTTAAAAAGTTTAAAGTCATGGTGGAGAAAGAGACTAACAAGCAAATTAAAGCTTTGAGGTCGGACAGAGGTGGAGAATTCACATCGGCAGAGTTTATGGAATATTGTGAAGACCAAGGTATAAAACATTTTCTCACAACTCCATATTCACCACAACAAAATGGAATAGCTGAAAGAAAGAATCGGACTATTCTTGATATGGTCCGAGCTATGCTTAAAGGGAAGAATATGCCTGAGAAGTTTTGGGAAAAGGCAATGCAGTGTGCTATATATATACAGAACAGGTGCCCACATTCATGGTGCTGTTGTTGCTGCTAAGCAGTGTTGATATTGCCGCATTGCGGTGCTGATATTGTTGAGTGGTATAAGTTGTACAAGTATGATGATAATCTGAAGTTGTTGTTCATTATATTGCTATATGTATATTGTATGTTGATTTTAATTACACTAGCTTACCCTTTGTTGTTTCCATGATGTTGGACTGCAATGATCATACTATGTATGGGAGCAGAGCAGGGATAGGTGATGTCTAGTGATGAGTCTTCAGCGGACCGACGGAGCTGATCTCATTTATGACTCTTTTTGTTGTTGAGCTACTTGGGATAGTAGCATATGATTGTATTTCTTTTTGGTACACTTTAACTCTGTTTCAGATTGGATCATGTATATGTATATTCTAGACTCTATATGTATACAGTTGTTCTTTTCTGTGCGGTGTTTCTAGTGTACTGTGCTGTGTGTAGTGATCAGCCGGGTCGTTACATTTAGAAGAAACATTGTATGTTATGAACATTACTTTAGATAACTAACTTGAAAATTATTTCATAGAAGTATGTTTTGACAATGCCTTTTCAAAATTATAAAGGATTGGTATCTTTCTATGAAGCTTTTGGAGACAAGAAAATATGTTGTATACCATTGATGTATTTGCTTTTAGTGTTATTTTTGATACTACCAGTGGCAACTGCATCCGTTGAAAGAGCTTTTTCTGCTCTGAATATCATCAAGAATTGGATGCGAAATCGTATAGGAAATGAATGGTTAAATAATTGTTTAGTTACATATATATAGAGAGAGGTTTTTGATAGTATTGAAAATGAGAAAATCATTCAATATTTTCAAATTATGAAAATTTGTAGAGAACAATTATGATATGTATTTGTCTTTATAAAATTTTTATTTTATATTTAGATAAATTTATGTATTTAAATATTGCCCCCACTACTTAGAATTCCTAGATCCGTCACTAGTTGAAAGACTTCAACCAAAGCCTTCTCAATGTTCTTTGAAATGAGCCTAGGAACAACCTTGAGAAGATGAAAAGTGAGTCCAACTTCACGAAGGTGGCCATCAATGGCTCGTTCAGTGTCTGGGAGGATTGTTTGTGCAGTGCACACCAATTCAAACAAAGGCTTCTCAACAGGAAAATGGTCTGAGTCAACAATAACAACAGTTGCACCATCTCCAAACAATGCTTGACCCACAAGACTGTCAAGATGAGTGTCAGTTGGGCCACGAAAAGTGACTGCAGTGATCTCAGAACAAACTACCAACACACGCGCACCCTTATTGTTCTCAGCTAAGTCTTTTGCCAAACGTAGAACCGTGCCACCAGCGAAACAACCTTGTTGGTACATCGTGTAACGCTTCACATATGGCCTAAGACCCAACAACTTGGTGATTTGGTAGTCAGCACCTGGCATGTCCACACCACTTGTGCTGCAAAATATGTCCAGGACCAGGCATGTTTGAATTTTATATCTTAGATTTAAGATAAATAAATATATTAAGTTAATTAATAATTTATTTAAAACATTAAAATTTAATTTATAAATATGTAATAAATAAATATTTATAATTTTATAAATCATATTATCATTATAAATTATAAAA